CTCAGAAAAACTTGCAAATAGTTGTCCAAAGGGCTTATATCTAGACTATATTAAGTACTCTCGCACCTCAGTGACAACCCCCCAAAAAATTTTTTAACATTTGAGAAAATGTTTCAACAAAAGAAGATACAGGAATAGCAAATACACATAGGCAGCAATGTGCAACATCATTATTCATTAGGAAAATGAGAATAATGCCCCAATGGGATGTCATTACCTAACCACTAAAACAAGTAAAATTAAAATAACTGACCACAACAAATGTTCTGAGGACTCTGAATGACTAGATGCTAGCAGAAACACACTGTTAGCAGTAAGATACAACCATTTTGGAAAAGTTTGGTGATTTCCTATAAAGGAAAACATACACCTACTGTATTACTCTGCCATTCCTCTCAGGAGAAATAAAAACATATGTCTACATAACAACTGCACACAAATGTTTGGGTCCTCTTTATCCGTAACAGCCAAAAACGGTAAACAACCCAATTTAGCAAAAGGTAAATGAAAAAAGGTTAAAAAAAAAAGGAATACCCAACAAAAATAAAGTATTAATAGTCCATGTAAAAAATATGAATGAATCTCAGATTTATTAAGCAGGAGGAAAGAAGCCAGACTTGAGACACATTATCTGATTCTACTTATATAACATTGTAGAAAAATAATTTATAGTGACAGAAAGCAAGTTAAGGGTTGCCTGGGAAGGGAGAAAAGGGGACATTACAAAGTTACAAAAAGGCTTTCAAGGTTAATGTACACACTTACTACCTTAAATTTAATGATGGTTTCATGTGTACATAAATAAGTCATCAAATTATGCATTAATTATATCTCAATAAACCTAAATTTTTTAAATTAAAAACTTAGAAGATGAATATGAGGTAGAGAAAATAAAATCTGAAGCCTATTTTTACGGTAGAATCCTAATAAACAATCTGGAGACAAATGAATTAAAGAATCTAAAATACACTTAAAAGATAAAAGCTATTACACAATTATACTGTAGAATTTAGGATTCCCAGATGCAAGATGAAATTGAATGATACTCAGTTTCCAGTGGGATTTTTTCCCTCTACCCCTACCCTCTCCATGCCTATAAGAAAAGAGAGCAAATGTTCAGGAAATTATCAATAACTTGATATTTAAAACATTCATATTTCTAAGCAGACTGACAAAGGGCTCAAAAATAAACTTTACTGGCGCAACTATTTTCACCCTCTGGAAGACAATCTAATCAAAATTTTCACTTGCCAAATTTTGACATTCTGAACTCAAGAGGTAGACAATATGTATCCACTTAGGTGACTAAAAAGAATGGATCAGCTGTCCATGATCCATCATAGCACAGAGACACTATTAAGAAGTGAACACATCTGAACTCCAGGCGAGACAAACATTTCTCAGCAAACAATATTATATTGGGCAAATCATGTCATATACAACCATTTACTTAACTAAAAATGAGAACATAATCATACCATGCTGGATTGCTACCACAGTCCCATCTCTACTTTCAGAGAATCATATAGTCGGACACACAGGGAATTCCATTCTAAAACAGCTCTATTAAGAGTGAACTTTTAAGGGCTGGGTAGCAAAACCCTGGAGGATATTTCAGCCCCTTCATAATTTGGTGGTCAGCCACATAACTGGGTAGAAATGATACTCAGACGTATGGCTCATTTCCTCTGATATTATCTTGCTTTCAGGGTTTCTCTCTACTGAAGTTTAACTGTTCTGTCAGCCCCATGTTCTGTCTTCAGATATCTCAAACCAGTTTTTGGCCACCCAATCCACATGCAAGTTGAGAAATGTACTCAGTCAAAAAAAGAGGCAAAAACAAATCTCATGTGGTTCATTTCTCATTCAAGAGCATAAGTCACATAACAATCAGAATAAGAAATTAAACTGGTCTTATAAAAATGTTAAAGATATGTGCTTAAGCTGGTTGCAGTGTTACACACTAATCCAAGCATCTCAGAGGCTGAGGCAGGAGGATCCAATGTTTCAAGCCAGCCTCAGCTACTTAACAAGGCCCTGAGCACCTTAGCGAGACCCTATCTCAAAATAAAAAGGGTTGGGGATGTGGCTCAATGATTATGTGACCCTGAGTTCAATCCCCAATACCAAAAAAAAAAAGATATGAACTTAATAATTCAGAGGAAATTTTTATTTACTCCATAGCTAGAATTACAAAAATTCAAAATACTTTTGCCTACACATAATCTGCACAAAATTAAAATCAATAAAATTCTAAATATCTATTCCCTCTTCACAGAAAAGATAAAAAGAATTTAAACTTAAAAGGCAATCATTAAGATATGAAATCACATGTTAGAATTACTGTGATAAATTATTAAAAAAGACCCTTCCTTTCTCCAGTCCAAAAAACTAAACATAAATTCACAATACTAATATTAATAAACAAATCACAACACAAATAATATTTTCACTGTAACACATGGGATCAAACATAAGGTTTGCTGAATACAATTAGCTGAGGAATTGAAGCACAAATACAAGAATAATTGCTTCCTTTGGGCTTTCGCTGTCAAACACAGAAAACGCCCGTGTTTTTTTAGTCCTATGATAATTAAACCCTTGTCATAGACCTAGACTGTCAATGAATATTTATTTAAAAATAAATTTGTAATATGACACCAAAAGTACAAGAAACAAAAGAAAAAAAAACAGATAAACTGAACTTAATCAAAATTTAAAACTTCTGGACTTCATGACACCATCAAGAAAGTAAAGAGGTAATCCACAGAATAGGGGGAAATACTGCAAATCACAGATCTGGTCAGGGTCTAGTATTTAGAACATATAAAGAACATTTATAATTCAACATTTTAAAAGACAACCCAGTTTTAACTGGTGAAGATTTGAACAGATATTTCTCCAAAGAAGGCAAACAAATGGTCAAAAGCACATGAAATGATGCCTACCACACAAAAGAAAGTCATAGAAAAGAAAATTAAAATCACAGAGATACTATTTCTCACCAACTAGGATGACTAAAATGTAATAGACGCCTATAAGGATGTGGAGGAACTAGAACCTTCACACATACTTGGTGGGAGAATAAAATGGCACAGTCATTTTGACAGTTCCTCAAACACTCAAAAAATCATCCCATTACTTGGAAAAATCCACCCCATTTATATAGATCAAAGGGCTATTTGGTATTTGTTTTGTATTGTTATATTAGGTTTGTCTGAACTCAAACTGCAAACAATGTCTCCTTTATGGTATGCAATAGCTGATTTTGCTTAAGTTTTTTCACATTGTAGCTGTTTTTTTTTTTAATAAAACCTCCCTTGTAATATGTTCACAAAAGAAATAAAAACATATGCATACAAAAACTTACACAAGTATATTCACAGAAGAAGTATTCCTAATAGTGAATACATCGTCTGATGAATAGATAAACAAAATGTGGTGCATTATATATATATATATATATAATGGAATATTATTCAGTCATAAAAATGAATGAAATACTGATACATACTACAAACTGAAAATATTTTGCTAAGTGAAAGGAGCCAGACACCAAAGGATAAATATTTTATGATGCTATCTTTATAAAATGTTCATAAAAACAGAAAGGCTACTAAGTGCTACCTGGGGCTGGGAGGTGTGGAGGTGTGAAGGTGTGAGGACATGACAAGAGTGATGAAAACATCCTAAGCTTATGTAGTAGTAATGATCCTACAAGTCTGGATATACTAAACTATCACTGAATTGTATACTCAGGGAAGAATTTTCTAGCATGTGAACTGTTATCTCAAAAAAAAAAAAGTCACTCAAAATTAATAAAGTTGCAAAAATGAAATGTGAGTCATAAGTATATGTAATACAAAGACAACTGATTCCCTCTAACTGAAATATATGCATCAATAGGGAAAAATGACAATAAGTCATTTTTATACTTAATACGTGCCCGGAAATCAGTTACTACATTTTAAAGTAGTAGAAATCTGCTTAACAATTTACAACATCATTTGTTCCTAAAAATGTTATACTTATTTTATAAATACATAGTAAACATAATAGTATAATTGTTGAATACTTAAGCATCCACAATGATTATTATGGTTTTAGAAACAATATTCGGTCAAATATGTATTATTGCAAAACACATTAAAAAATAATAAAAGAAACCAATACTTATCCTTAAATATTTCTTCGTATACATACAATTATAATCTCTTTTAGCTAATCAAATAAACCTATTTATCTCTAAAAATCTTTTGACTATATTAAAAACAACCTCAAACTATGACACAATATTATCCAATGTCTCAGCACTTTCTTCCTATCTTTGAAATATATTTCATCACTTTAAAATCTATCAAGATTAACTAACGCATTATTGCGTCTATATAATCATCATAGCACATAAATCTAAAACACTTTTAGTTGAAATAAAACATGCTGAGATTAACCAATCTTTAGTAAAAAATTAAGTAGTAAAAGCTTTATCTAATAAAATCCTAAATTTATGAGATGCTTTACTATAGGCCCATAAAATTTTTCATATTTTAATCCTGGAACAAAGAAATTGGGATAATCCTGACAACATTAATGGTTGGTACACTGCAGCAAATGGGACCTAATAAACAAAACAATGGATGGCAAAAGAAAAAATCCATACTAATTTTGGCAACTAAAGGAGAACTACTACAAAATCCCAAGAAGGGAAAATCCTGTTTCATTCATAAAGTATTACCACTCCTTACCCACTAGAACTATTTCTTTTCAGGACTTCCTAATATTTAGGCTGCACACCAAAAGAATGTTCTGGATACAACATGTAGAAAGAATCAGAAGCAGATCAGAAAAGGCATAGAGAAAAAAATTCTAGAACTCAGTTAAAAATTAAAAGCAATATAATTTATAATTGTAATTTAACACTGGTTATTGTAAATGTCCTTATATTGCGTGCATAAATTTAACTAAAATTCAAAGTGTATAACATGGAGTTCAATACTTACCAATTACTTAGATAGCCTTTTAAAAATCTTGCTGATGGTAGAAATTCCCTAAATAAAAAAATAAATAAATAAGTGAGAAATATTTTTTCAACTTCAGAATTATACCTACTCTGTAAAATCTACCCAAGAATTCCATTTAATATTTGGGTTATTTCTTTATGTATAACACTATAAAACCCAAAGCATATGCTGAAACTTGAGCATATAATAAAAATTTTATATACAAATTTTTCATAATTTTAAAAATAATTTAAATTTCATATGCAACATATGGAAAAGCTGATTATCAAGACACTGGCAGCATTTACTAGAACACAGAAAGAATGAGTTCTGTCACAAATAAGACATAAATAATTAAAAAATCAAGGGAACAGTATACTAATAACTTCTTGGAGTATCAGTCATATGTTCAATTCTTTCTAACACTGAATACACACTGTCATATTCTGGTACCTGGCGACACCTTTTAAGTAACACCTAAACAATGTAACAATAAGTTCTACAAAGCAGAGCCAATGAAATGATAAAATATTTTATAAACTCATTGTGATTTTATCAAAAGGTCAAAATGAGGAAGCATTTTAAAATCCTTTCTATGTTAATAGGTAAACAAAATACCTTGTCCATAATAAAAAGAAACATGTAAAGTGGCAAATGAATTTACTATTATAAAAGTTAGCTGTAAATAATTTCATAATAAACTTTGAATACAAATCTTTTCAATCAAGTCTCAAGTCAAATTAATCAAAATTTAAGAATAAAGGTACTACAAAATATTTATGGAACTCTAAGTGTTTGCCAAACACTTTACTCTGAACTGAAAAAAAACTTGTACAGACTTTTTTCTGAACACTTCATTCCTTATAGACTAAGTCATCTGCTTAAATATAGCAGCTGCATTTGACTGCACATCCCAATGTTTTTAAACCACCATTATGTCTCCTCAAAAACAAAACACAGCAAGTAAGGCAGAACATAATGTTATGAAATAAAACTGCCTCTTTCAGAGTCAGGAAAAAAAACTGTTTAAAATTTCCTTTTAAAGAATCACCAGAATAACAATCATCTATCTTAATAGAAAATGTTACATTACTAGAAACTGCAGTACCACATATAAAAATAAAAATGTTTTCTTGAGTAAGCCTTATAGATTTCCTATGACTACTTCTGCTAAAACCAGAATCTATCAAATCAACATCTATCCACAGACCATGGACAAAGGGAAAAGAAAAAGAGAGCTAAACATAAAATTGTAAAGCTGCTAAACGATGACAAGAGAACACTGTCACAACTTTGAGCTGGGCAAGGATTTCTTAAACAGGACACAGATAAACAAACTGGATTTCATTACAACTAGGAAGTATCTTTTTAAAAAATAAAAATACAAGCTACAGAGTAGGATAAAATATTAGCAATATACGTGTCCAACAAAGGACTCATCCAAAACATATTATGACAGTTTAAAATCAACAAGAAAAAGACCACTCAAGGGCTGGGGATATAGCTTAAAGGTTGCTTGCTTATCATAAGGCCCTGGATTCAATCCTAAATACCACAATAAAGAAAAGAACAAAAACACAAACATTATTAAGATACCCAAAAGATCAAACAAAACTTCAAAAAAAAGATCATGAGAAAAAATGCTAAATATTACTGATCATTAGAAAAATACAGATTAACCTCACAATGATATATACTATCACCCACAATTTTTTTTATCTAAAAACCCGACAATAACAACTATAAGCAACAATATGCAGCAACTCATATTCTCAAAAACTAGAGCAGAAAAGTAAAATGGATCAAACAGAGAATGTTGGGAAGTACCTACTGAGACTGAAAATATAATTCCTAAAGACCAAGCAATACCACTCTCCTAGTTATACATGCCCACAAAAAGATATGTTCAAGAATTATCACATCAGCATTATTTTAAGAGCCCAAAACTGTATATAATCCAAACATCTAACAGCATTAGGATGGAGAAATAAACCACAGTATATTCATACAATGGAATCCTAAACTACAGTGAAAATGCCACATGTCAAAAACTCAGTGTCAAAGAAGCCAGTGCAAAGAAAAAAAAAAAAAAGCCACATACTATCTGATCTATTCTTATAAAATTCAACAATAAACCAAACATATCTCTGTTTATAAAGTAGGAAGAGTAATTAATTACCTTTCTTGTGAAGGAATTATTGACTGGGACAGGACACAGGGAGACTTCTGAGAAGTTGATACCTTGATCTGGGTTGGGGTTAAAAAATTGTGTTCACTTTGTAAAAGTACATCAACATAGAAAAGTTCACTTATACTTTTCTGTATGCATATAATGCTTCAATGTCTTTAAAATTAAAAAAAAAAGACCAAAAATTACTTCTCAATAACTCTAGGCCATCATACTAATAATATGTAACTCACTAATTCGAAAATCTCAAAATTTCTTAACAATGTATTCCAATTTATTTCTATTGATTACACAAAAGGTAATTTAAATATGGCTGGTCATTTTATACTAGAAAGTTTAAAAGCAGTTTCAATGCAAATATAAATTTTGCCAGCAAAGGATTCCTTATGATTTTCTATCACTGGTTGAGTTGTCCCCTATCTGAAATGCTTGGAATCAGGAGCATTTCAGATTTCATAGTTTTTCAGATTGTGAAGTATCTGCATTAACTTTACCACATGAACATTCCTAACCCCAAAATCCAAAATCCAAATACTCTAGCATTTCAGATTTCATATTTTCCAACTGGAGATGTTCAACCTGTAATAATACAGAAAACTATATATTTTTCTAATGCTTGTCCTAAACAAACTCAAGTTAAATTTATAGATATGTGATTTTGCACAAATATTTTTAAATCATTAATAGCTAGCTTGAACACTGGTTTCAAAAGCAACCAGATAGCCAAGCCAGGCATTCATAAAAACACTAAAGCAAACTTACTAGACACTATTGTTTAGAAAATCTAAGACTTTTTGATTGCTTCCAGTCTCCCTCTATTTGCCACCTTGAGCCCCTACTTGTGTGCCTAATCTTAGGTGGTCTACCTATGACACCCCTGAGCAACAACCTTGGTATTCCAGGTGACCCCCATTTTCACTCTGACAAGATTAAAGAAGTTATCATGAGCCAGGAAAAATTTGCCAAACTGCTGGCACAAGTACACACTGGTTGGAAAGGAACTGCTTGCAGAAGAAAGGTGGTTCATTGAACCAAGATTAAAAAAAATAATAATAAAAATTAAAAAGCTTCAGTTGTCTTTAAAGAAGTTAAGGGTAAACAGTATCCTCTCTGGTATGAAAGAGGTGAATATGTTTACAAACCAAGGAACAATGATCCACTTTAACAACCTTCAAGTTCAGGCATCTCTGGCAGAAAACACCTTCATATCACAGGCCATGCAAAGATAAAAGCAGCTGTCAGAACTGCTACTCAACATCTTAAACCAGCTTGGTGCAGAAAGTCTGACTGAATTAAGGAGACTGACTGAAGCACTGCCCCAACAATCTATGGATGGAAGAGCACTACTCGATACTGGAGAGGAGGAGGGGCGGGGGCGGGGAGGAAGTTTCAGATCTTGTATAGAATTTTAATAAGATTCTAAAAATGAAGTAAACTGATTGGAGTCAACTTCAGAAGACCAATAAAACTTGAAGAAGTTACTGGGAGCTGCTATTTTATACTACAACTGTTTTTTAAAATTGTTTATGATATGAATCTGATAAAATCTAGATCTCTAACATTTTTAAGCCCAAGCCCCTTGAACACTGCAGTTCTTTTCAGCTTTCGTTTATACCATTTATTCTATGCAGCTAATTAAGCTGAAAAAAGCCTGGTAATAATTCTTGAAACAAAGGTTAATGGAGTTCTTTGACTAGTTTAAAAAAAAAAAAAATGAAGACTTAGATTTTTTTTAGACCATACCTTTTCAAGAAAAGTGTTCTACATCTATTGAAAAATAAAAAGCCTTGCAAATAAGTCTTCTTATAAACATAAAATTTTTGTTGATATTTACAATGGTACCTATGTAAAAAACATAAAAAGTTCCATTTCTTCTTATCTACCTTTTCAATTATACTGACCTAATCACTATTTCTTTTTAATCTAACAAACTTCTATTCTTTTGTCTAAATTAAGTAATTTGATTAATCTTTTATTAGATTTAAATAAGGATTTGTGACTTATTACAACAACCTGTTTGTCTTTGGCTGACAGATATTTTTTGTTGTTTTTGTTGAGTCTATAACAAAATTCAGGAAGGAGAGGAGGGTGGCCTAAAGGCCGGAAAGGTCAGTTCTCTTAATAATTCCCAGAGGCTAGAAATTTGGTTTCCCCTCAGATTAGCACCCCTTCATGGGGTCAAACCTCATTTGGTATCAAAACCTCACAAGAACTTTCCTGAGTCTTGGGGTTTGTTATCTATATGAATCTAGCTTGATAGAGAGCTCCTTTCCTAACATGCAACAGCCAGAAATCGTAAAGTTCCTGAATAAAAAAAGGCCAGCAATCCAGTTAGTCCTGAGACACAGTGAACAAAAGAAAAACCACTGTCAAACTAATTTTTTTTTTTAATCAGTCTAACTCCACATCCCACCCAAGCATGAAACATGCTTCTTTAAGGTTCTTAACTTTCTAAAAGATTTGTTTTTACCACAAATAAAGTAAAGTAACCAACATGGGCAATCTTTGAACAAGTACTAATATTAAAGGTACTCAAGAACAAAAAGGGGGAAATCCCTTCTTTATGAGAAGTTTGTCTTATCTTCCTAAAAGAGAAGAACCAACTTACTGAATGTAAAGGAAACTTCCCCAGAGAACGTATTTCTTTAAAATAAAAAAATTTTAAAAATTAAAAAAAAAAAAAAGACTAGAAGGACTAGGATCATGGTTCATGATTTAAAGTCCACTTTGAAGCCAAGAGTGACTAAATGAAGTCAAGACAACAGGTCCCATCCCATACTTAAATAGTCCACAGAATCAGATATGGGTTTATTAAGAGAAATTACCTAATTTTATGATTTCTAATAATAATAAAAATACCAGAGAAGACTAAAAGGATGTAAGCAAAGCAATCTTCCCCTAAAACAAAAGAACCACAATGAATTCAATGATTACACCCTGTTCATCAAGCAATAAATCTAATGAAGACTGTTTATGAATTATGATCACATAAATACTATTTTAAAATCTAGCATCTTTAACAGGTATTATGTTACAGTTTACAGAAATAAATTTTGATGTGCTATTGCACAGGCAGGTAAAGTTAACAATAGAATATACTGTTATTTTCAAAAAAGTTAAAAAAATATTTTGAATGCTTCCACCACAAAGAAACAGTAAATGTTTGAAAAGGTAGATATGCTTACCTGATTTGAACATTATATAATATATACACATACATGTATCAAAATATTACATGATACCCCATAAATATTTACACTTTTTATGTGTTAAATTTTTTTTAAATTAATAATAAAAAGAATTTAAATCTAGCATCTTTGAATGGTGTTCATAATTTATTTTCTTAAGAGACTGCTATTTTTTGTTGTTTTCAATTTTAAGTTTTTTGAAGCTACACTGGTAAATATAAAAGAAGGGAGTCCAACTCATCAAGAGTTCTGGCCACTAAAAATATTAAATGGAAAACTCCAGAAATTAATAATTTATAATTTTTTAAAATTTTTATGTGGTGCTGAGGATCAAACCCGGGCCCCACCAGCGCTAGGCGAGCGCTATGCGGCTGAGCCACAATCCCAGCCCCTAATAATTTATAATTTTTAAATTGCAAGTCATTGAGATGGGTGATGAAATCTCAAACCCCATTCTTCCTGAAATGTGAATCATCCCTCTTTTCAGAGTATCCATCCTGTGTACACTTCTGCCCATTAATCACTAAGCAGCCATTCCAGTTATCAGATGGACCAAAGAACTGGTATCCCCGTGCTTATTTCCAAATAACACCTTATTTTACTTAATAATGGAAGCAAACCCTAAAGTAGTGGTACTGGCAATTCAGGTATACCATAGTAAAGCCATAAAGTGCTTCCTTTATGTAAAAAGGTGAAAATTCTTAACTTTTAGGGGAAAAAAAACAATACAGAGAATTCAGTACTATCTGAGCTTTCACATATCCACTGGAGGTCTTGGAATGTTTTCCCTGTGGATAAGAGGGACATATTACAGTTACATGGAGATCCGATCTTGAATTACCTGGGAGAAACATTAAAAACTGCTTCTCAAATTACCCATCACCCATTTGATTTAGTCTACTTACAATATTTCATAAATCAATCCAGTACAAACAAACCAATGTTTTACTTCTACCTTACACAGAATTGAATTTCATTATTTTATATCCTTCAAATGTCTTTTAAAAATCTCATGCCATAACAAATTTTTGTAAAAGATGTAAATTTTCACTTAAAAAAAAAAAAAAAACATGCAGCATTTCTATTTCTTTAACAAAGAAGGCACAGCATTTGGTGTTTATCCCCAAGCATCTGGCTTGATTGCTATAAAACCGCAAAGGAATGCTTACACAGTACCTCAATTTGAAAGGAATTCCTCAACTTTCTCATAGACACTCCAGCAAATTAAAAAGTAAACTCATGGTACTTTTAAAAAATATCTGATTTGTTCCAATTGTCCGAACAGTAACAACAACAACAACAAAATCAACATAAGTTATCTGCATTTCTACATAATTACATTCATAGAGTTTTGCTCTCATGTTTTCTCTGACACTTCCACAAACCTTAAAACTGTATCTAAATTCCTCACAGTTCTCACCAATTGCAAATTTTCAAAAGTACTTCAAAAGTCTGTGATCTACATCTTCTGCCACATTCATATTCCTTAAATTAATTCAAGCCCCAGCTGATCACTAATTTACTACAATAAAATACTGGATGAGTTCTAATCCCCTTCCTCCCCAAAAAATGACCTTTATCTAGAAACATAAACTGCTGTCCACCTTGATATTAACAGGTTCTGTAATAAATTAAATCTTTATGGAGTCCTAATATCTCACATAATCTCTTAAGATTACACTATTCAAATTAAATTAACAAAAAACAAAACTGAGTAAACATATTAACTCTTAAATCCTGTACTACAAAATTCAACACATACTGTTCTAAAGAACAGAAGAGTTCTACAAAATCAAATCCATCTTTACTATTTAACAAACACAGCAGAGGGATGAAGAGCCTATAGAAATTTATTTGAAATAATAGTTAGT